CTCTCTCTCTCTCTCTCTTTCTTCTCTCCCCTCCTCTCTCTCTGTGTCTCTCTCCAAGCACCAAGTATTGAACATTTCTGTCTCTCTAAACTTTGTTTACAGGCTGCAAAATCAATGTCCGTGACTTGATTGCCTTTGGGCTGCGTATTTCGCTCCAGGGGTGAATTGATTAAGTAATAATGACCCTGAGGAGGGCTGATCATTAAGCCAAGGAGGTTTTGTTTACGGGTGGCTGCTGCTTGTTTTGGATGCCACATCGACATTGAACCTCCGGATCTCGGAAGGGGATGGTTGGATTTAGGACTCTTGGCTTTCACGTGTGCCATCAAAATTTAAAGGAAAAAAGAAGGATTTTAAACGGAATTATGTTACAAAGTGCACTGAGACTGCAAGACTTTTTTTTGAGGGGGGGGGACTTCAGCCATTGAGATTGTATTATATGAATAATTTTTTTGTTTTGTTTTGCTTTTTGGTTAACAAGGCAAATATTCGCCTGCTCTAGACACGTTAAGATGGGAATGCACTTCAGCAGGACTTAAATACTGCCACCCAGTACGATCTCTCCATTTCCATGTGTGCATATTTATAATTCATTCTTTTCAAGACAGCTGCTGGGTAGCACCATGGAAGTGATTTGAAATGCTTTAGTGTTCCAGCAATGGATCAGCTTTGGCAATTAAGAGAGAAAGCCCAGAAAAAGGTAATGGAAGTAGGGGGAGATGTGTCTAATGGGCTTTTATCTGTGGAAACCAAATCCAGACAGACTGGTGGAAAGAGAGAGAGAGAGAGGAAATGGAGCACCCCCCCACCCCCCATCATCACCACCACCACCACCACCACCCCAACACTCACACATGTACACCTACACACCTACACACACACACACACACACATACGGTCCCATCGTGAAGCAGCTGACACCGTAGCTGGTCTGGTCCATGATCTGGTCGTAAATTCACCAGCGGCTGTCGCTGAGTAAATGTAATAGAGCTAGCCATGAAGGAATACCTGCTGGTCTTAAGAGGCTGAACAGAGGCTTGTTTACATGGATGAGCCGCCTATAATATTACTAATATCGCAGATGAAATCAAGATGTTTGAAAATATTTAACTCTGTTCCTCAGCAGATAATTTTTTAAGAATTTATATGGCAGACCTGAGGTAAACATTTGTGTGTTTTTAGTCACTACTGTCATAATGTGAATGCTGGTGAGGCTCTTCTCTAACTTTTCCAAAAAAAAGAAGTGATATTTTGGATTGAATATTGCATTTTTTTTGTGTTTTGATGAAATGCACTCTTGTGCATCAAGACGTATTTACTCATTCTGTGCAGAAGCTGATTGGATTTTCACAAAAATATGTAAGAATACCCTGACAAGAGATCTAAAAAAGAAAAAAAAAGGGAGAAATATTTAACGTGTGGGATTTTTTGAAGCATGCTAATTCTTTCCCCCCCATTATAATAATGACATGTTGGTCTGTCACAGCTCTCACGTTATTGTCGCCAGATGAAGATCAGTCCTGACTATTTGTGATAGTTCCATTATGAAACGTCAGCGCGTAAACAATGTGCCAGAGAATTCTTCAAATGTTCAGCTGTTATGTCCAGAGAAAAGTTGAAATACAGAAATGAAAACTGATTAGAATGAAAACATTTGCCTCTTTTATGTTTAACTGTTGTTTTTTCTTTTTTTTTTTTTTTTTTTTTTTTTGTTTTTTTCTTTTGCTTATAGCACTGGAGAAGATAAACCAGGATGGTAACACCGTGTTCGTAACCAGCTTCAGTTTGACAAAGGCCGCTGTAACCTCACTCTCTCCTCCTAAACGCTGACAACCCCTCCTCAGCCATGTCTAACATAAACAATGCGCTTTGCATTGAAAACGGACAGAATGCAGATGTGTCACTCTTACAAAAGGATAATCTTCAGGATGGTGGATTAAGCCAGCTTTTGGATTATAACGCAGAAATGGAAAGGTACAGGTCTTTTGCAAACTTTTATAAAACCAATGGGGCATTTCCACAGACTGCAAAGATTGCCCGTATCACGACGCCCATTTTTCCCAGTGCTAGAATTGGTATGTCCCCTTGGAACTGTGATAACGCCATGCTCTGGGGAAGGAAATCAGCGGCAATAAACCCTAATAGGACCAGCATGCATAGAAATGACTCCCAGAGGCCGGGGAAGCCTGGCGTGCCGCCAGAGACGCTGCAAATGGCAAATAATAATTTCCTCTCTACCTTATCCCCCGAACACTGCAGACCTTTAGCAGGAGAATGCATGAACAAGCTGAAATGCGGCGCTGCTGAAGCAGAGATAATGAATCTCCCAGAACGCGTTGGAACTTTTTCCGCTATTCCGGCTTTAGGGGGCATCTCATTACCTCCCGGGGTCATCGTCATGACAGCCCTTCACTCCCCCGCAGCCTCAGCAGCCGTTACAGACAGTGCGTTTCAAATTGCCAATCTGGCAGACTGCCCACAGAATAATTCCTCAGCATCCAGTGGAAACCCAGCGAAGAAGAAAAGGAAAAGGTGTGGGGTCTGTGCACCCTGCAGGCGGCTAATCAACTGTGGTGTCTGCAGCAGTTGTCGGAACCGCAAAACGGGCCACCAGATCTGCAAATTTAGGAAATGCGAGGAGCTGAAGAAGAAGCCAGGCTCATCGCTGGAGGTGAGCACCAGGGCTCTGCTTCCCCTTCTTTTATTATTATCCCCTTGCACTCCAAAGCATTAACCTTTTCATCCAGTCACGTTCTAAGCCCTTGAAAATTGTTTCCATGCCCACCCATGCCTGAACATCCCCCCGGTTTCTCAAATCTGCCTACCCGCCTAGCCTAATTGGCAGTAATTAGGGGTGTTTGTGCGGAGCGCAAGCTGAGCTTGGCTCAGACACCCCTAATTGCTGCCAGTCAGGCTGGGGCTGGAACGCATCCGAACAACCCCGAGCTTGGCTCAGCTCCAAGCAGGGCTGGGAAATGGTTTTCAGCAGAGAGCCATCTCTCTCTGCACCCGGTCATTTTAACCAATTATGGAAACCGTCTCTGGATGGGAAGAATCAATATCCCACAAAGCCTCAGCCTCCGACCACCAAGAGATGGCGAGAGTGATGGCAGAGCTGCTGATGGCGTTTCTCAAAACATCCCCCAAGTTTAGTGTGGGGAGGGGAGCCAAGCACCCAGACTGATCCCTTCCCACTGATCCTGTATGAATTGATTGTGCATATACAGTAGGGCGAAGATGAAGTCATTTTATATCATATTTGTGTTATTATGGGCAATTATGCATCAATTTGGGGCATGATGCACATCAAGAAGAGGCAAAAATATAAAGTCTGTGCCACTTAGAAAAGAGAAAAACATATTAGGCTCTGGCTTTACTGACAAGTAGCAAAAGGCTTCATTAGGACACAATCAGAGGGCAGAATTGTTTTTAAAGGTTCATTCTAATTGATTTATTTACCGTCTGACATTTATTGTCAGGGCAAGGTCTGAATTTGAATGTTAAATGGTAAATATGATTCTCTCTACCCTGAGTTTTTGAGTCTGTTTACTAAACACAAACCTTTATGGAGGAGTTTCCAACAAGTGCAGCATGGGGGTCAGATACATACCTATTAATTAACTGATTACAAAGGGAGTAAAATAAGGTCAACTATAAGATATTTACCATCGACTCATGGAAAAACACCATGAATGGATTCCTTTGTTAACTATGAACTCAAGATACTAGTTTGTCTAAATTTCACTTGAATCATTTCTTTCTCCTAATATTGTGTGTTTAGTAGGTTATCATGACATAATATGTTATTATGTAGTCATTTGATTTTCATAATTTTTGTTCCTCATTACTTAATAATATAATTTCAGCTAAGTCAGTCCTGCTTTGACAGTATGCCATTCACACCTTGTATCCCTGATGAACATTTTTTAGAACTTTTAATGATTTTATCAGGAGTTCCAAACGTTAAAAGTTTTGCTATTTGCAACTGAAACAGATATATAGACAGTGGATTAGGCCTGTTTTTTTTTTTAATTAAAATGATCTCCTTAGTGGTTTGGTCATTCATTACAGAAATTAGATATGTAGCCAACCCCCAACGTGTTGCTTAAATTTTAAGAAAGATGTGTGTTTAAAAATGTAGATATTGTTAGAATGCATTGCCTATACAGTGAAAAGGTCTACAGATTTGACTATTTGTCTGTAATTGAATCTTAAACAGCTTCCCTTCTAAAAAGAAGTGGACAAATCTGCTTGCATGGTGAGCTCATTTCAACCTGTTCTGAGGAGAAATTCACTTTTCAAAAAGAATTTTATGAGAACATGTGTATGAACCAAGATTTGCTTTCGAAACAAATCAAAAGCTTCTTACCACAAAGGCAGATTTGTTTCAGTTGTTCCAAGGAAAGTACGTTCAGAACTGAAATTACAAACAAAAAAATAACCTAATAAGAAAGAGGCTACTGCAGGCTAAAATAAATGATGATTTAGATATTTTGTGGAGCCATAAAAACAAAAAGCCATCACAACATGCTGTAGCTTAAACTGTGTGTTGCACCAGGCTGGTGCAGTGTGTGTGACTTGACAGAAAGTGTGGAAGAAGTCGGAGGTTCAGGGTTTTAGAGTTTAATTAAATGAGTCATCGAGTGAGGTTATTGGTTATGGATTGGATGTGGATGCAGCAGAGGTGTCAATCGGAAGCTAATTTAATGTTGACTCACTACATCATGTACTAACAGGTGTCCCAAACAGGTGTCCAGGAAGCTGGACTCACGTTCGTAATCCACGGGTAGACTCATTTTTGGAAAACATCCATTTGCAAAGAAGGTTAGAATTACCAAGGGTGTGAAGCCCCCCTAAACAAATCCACACTCGCTTGTAAAAAGCTCCTTCACTGACTTCGGTAATTCATAGTGTGGACTTTTCCAGCAGTAATTGTTATTTTTGACTCTGGATCCGTAATTACAGGTGCACCTTCTGCTGCGGAAATGGGTTTGAGTTTAGAGGCATCTTAGAGGTGAGAAGTTGTGCTCTGGCTTTTTAGAAGTTTTTATGTGATGGTGGGATCTCTTTCCAGCTCGCTTAATGGTCGCTGAGAGTTCAGTAGGATTTGATTGAGAAGTGTGAGGTATCAGGTGCTGCTGTATATTTAGAAAGAGAAATTTCCAGCATACATTTAAATTCGCATGTGACAAGTAACACGTATGCTCGCTGCGTCTCTCACCTGTTCTCACGCAAACACACAGTCACACTAGCATCCGCAGTCTCACTACATAGTCACAAACAAACGCACACACCAAACACGAAGCCAAGTGTACCTTTTGCCTTGGAAGAGATGATAAGCCACTGGCAGCCAGTTAGATTTGGCTGTCAGTGTTTTCCACATGGGAATCACCCTGAACTAATTATATCTTAAGCAGCGGTGGAAAATGCAAATCAGAATTTTACTCACACCCCTGAAATCGGAGAGCCAATTTAATCTAATACCCCCTTTAATTTAGCGCGCTAATGCAAGGCCCTAGAGAATTGCCCTGTGTCACTGCTGTGCTGTTCTGCAGCAGATTTTGCTCTCTCTCTCTGCTCCGTCTCTGTGCTGCTCTCAGGCTCCAGGATGGATTAGTCTGGCAGAGGAATCTCATCTAACCTAACATTTCCCGAGCAGTTACCTTTGCATAGCTTGAGCTCAGATGGCTCAAAGGTCCTTCATTAACTTTCAAATGCAATACTCTATGTATGTGGGCAAGCTGTGGCTTCTCCTCTGTTTACCTCACCTGTTTACCTCACATTAACTTTTATTCCTGCGATGATGCTCATGCAAAGGGCTTTAGCCTCCTTTTAGATTATATAAATATTGTCGGTAAAGATACAGTATGCTCTGCACCCTGTGTGGCTCATCAAATATAAAAAAACATGGACATCCTGTGAGGGCTTCCATACGTATAATGTTTTTAATATGTACTGACCCATCATCGTGGATTATGGGCTTGTTGTGAACATGATTTGTGAGCAGTTTGCCCAATCTTCCTGCCTTAGCGTAGTCGAAAATACCCATGAACATCATTTTATGGTAAAAGAAATGTGATGGAGTTTTGTTGTTGTTTTTGTTTTGTGTTTGCTTCTATTTTGTCGCTTATCTTAGAATCCAAAGGGGCGCTGACCCCCTGCTTGGTGAGTGTTTGGAATCCAACAAGTGGCTCAGTAGTATATTATTCTAATTTATGCAGATATCATTTCTTTTGAACTATTTGTGTTTAATGCAAATGCAGATGTGTGAACTGTATACATGTCAGAACTGGCAACGCTTCCCACTTTCCAGATTGTCACTGAAGTCATCACTAGAGCTTCAAAATATTTTTTACAGGGAAATCTTAAAGGGGTGTAGCACTACAAGCATTGAATGTTCTCCAGCATACAAATAACTACAAATTTAGGGAGATACTATTCAGTTCAGACAGCAGAATAAGATTTTACTTGCTATGTTACTTTGGGTGTTTTGTGACATACATATGGCTTGTGGCTGAAAGACTAAAACCTTTGTCATGTCACACACTTTCACATTTTGAATTGAATTTGGGCTTGAAAATGTCGGTATACATTTAAAAACTGCCATTTCCAATCAGGACAAGGTGGTTGCTCACAAGCAGAGGCTTCCACGAATGCTGCCAATCAGGAGACAGTGGCCTTTTAGGGAGGGGAGGCTTAAAGAGCCTAGAGCTAATATCGCCAATTTCAGGCAGATGCTAAACAGAGGGGCTGCGTCACAGGTGGTTTTCAGCAGATAAGATAGATGAATGGATAAATAGGGATCTTTACCTCTGGCAAAGAAGTTTAATTTTCAGTGCTTTTTGTTTGTTTGTCTGTCTGTCAGTGAGATTATGCAAAAACTGTCTGGCAGAATTTCATGAAGCTTGGTAGAAAGGTGGAGCAGGGGAATAGGAAGAACCAATTAAATTCTGGGGTGGATCTGGATCACTCTCCTTAAAATTGTGAGCCATGGCATTGGCCTTGATGGAGGTCTGTGCTGTGTATCATGGAGAGGTACTAGTGGAGTCCCAGTATAAAAATAGAGAGCTGGAAATGAGCGTAATATTGCCATAGTGAGTAGGATTTCAACACTCACAGTATGGAACAATGAGTAACAGGGACCTAATCAGCTAATAGTATAGGCTTTATTAAAGATTTATCAGTTAAGTTGGAAGCAGTATTTGTTGAAAATTTAAGTTCGGGCCTGTTTTTCACTGTGTTGTGCTGTGAGACATTTCCGTTAAATTATACAACAAAAACTGAATTGAATTGTCTAAGAAAAATGCTGACCAGTCTAAACGGTTCCTTCAAGATATCCTTGCTAAGCTACGTATTCAGTTTTTGAATTTTGCATAATTGGTTGAACTGCATGTATTATTTATGTTGTTTTGGGGTTTTTTTCAAGGTTTTATTTTTCAAGGTGAATGACTCATAATACTAAAGACTATATATCAGAAGTTTAATACCTAGAGACAGATGTCTAATACAACATCCGCAATTATATTCGTTTAAGGAAACAGTCTCGTAATTTCAAGTGCTCAGTTATTGAGTATATTGACAAGAACAGTTTGACTGAAGCAGCACTTTTTACATTCTACAATACTGCAAAGACAAAGCGAAATACTTGAAATGACAACATCCAGGGAGGCT